GTCCAACTCTGACTCCAGCACTCGAACCCAGGACCCCAGGATCATGACCTGAGCCGAAGGCAGATGCTTAACAGACGGAGCCACCCAGGTAACCCAGAGCAAACCAAATTTGTAGAATGTGGTTAGAACAGTGAGTAAAGGAATGTTGCATCTTTAAGTGTTTATTTTAAAAAATAAGAAAGATCTAAAAACTGGGATATAAGTTTCTATCCTAAAAAAGAGAAGTGAAAGCACATTAGTTACAAAATAGAAATAGATAACAAATATTGGTATGGAAATGAAAATAGCACAGAATATTAACAAAGCTAAAATTAGAGTTGTAAAAGACTAATATAATTGAAAAATGTCTACTAAGATCAATCATGAAATAAAAAGTGAAATTTTGGGGGCGCCTGGGTGGCTCAATGGGTTAAAGCCTCTGCCTTCGGCTCAGGTCATGATCCCAGGGTCCTGGGATCGAGCCCCGCATCTCTGCTCTCTGCTCAGCGGGGAGCCTGCTTCCTCCTCTCTCTGCCTGCCTCTCTGCCTGCTTGTGATCTCTCTCTGTCAAAGAAATAAATAAAATCTTTAAAAAAAAAGTGAAATTTTAATTATCAATATCCGAGAAAAGGGGGCCCATTGCTACAGATTAGAAGACATTCAAAGGATAAGGAGATTATAAACACCTTTTATAAAAAAGATTTTATTTATTTCTTTGACCGAGAGACAGACAGCGAGAGAGGGAACACAAGCAGGGAAAGTGGGAAACAGGGAAGCAGGCTTCCCAGTGGAGCAGGGAGCCCGAAGTGGGACTCGATCCCAGGACCCTGAGATCATGACCTGAGCCAAAGGCAGATGCTTAATGACTGAGCCACCCAGGCGCCCCTATAAAACCTTTTTAGGAAGAAAATTGCAGGTTCAAAGATTTCTCCTGGTGAATTTCATCACACATAGAAGATATGTTACCAGGGTCCTACAAACTCTCAGACAATAGAGAAGGAGGTATATCCTCCAAATCCATTCAATGAGGTGAGCACGACCTTCCTACCAAAATATAATAATAAATGTACGGATTACTATACCTCACAAACACAGATATGGCAATCTTGAACATACTAGAAAATCAATCCTAACCAAATTTAAAAAGATCCTCTAGAATGACCAAGTGGAATTTGCAGCAGAAACTACAAGGTTGGTTTCCTATGTAAAAGCAGTCAGTGCAATTTACCGTAGTAAGAGACTGAAGGAGAAAAGCCATCTGCATTCTCAAAGCTGCAGGGGAAGTAATTGATGAAGTTGACCATAGCTTTCCAAAAGGTCTCTGGTAAAGTAGGAATTGGAGGGAATTTCCTTCTGCCGAAGGCAAAGCAGGGTTAAGTGACCAGGAGAGGTTGTGCCTTGGGACCCGAGGCCGTGAGAGCTGAGCAGATTCTGCCCCCAGCTGCAGCACCTCTCATGTCCTTGCGTCTGGGAGAAGAGTTCCCACGACCAGCTGTGTGGCTGGCCACAGGTTACAACACATGCATCACGGGATGATGCGGGGCGACTACTGTCTCTGTCCTCCACCTTCTGAGCAGCCTGGAGCCCAGGGTGGCCTGTGTGGGCCTTAGGAGAGCAACCAACTCAGACCTAGTGGGCGGCGGGGGATCCTCACAGGGAGCCGGGGAGCTGGGCATCGGGACTGGAGAAGTGGTCATCCATGATGCCTGCGTGATGAGGGGGCTCCAGTCGGGGGGTGCATGCATGAGCTCTGGAATCAGACAGACCAGCTTCAGCCCCCGCCTTCACTCCCACGTGGGACCTCCTGGAGAGGTCCGAGGGTTTGTGCTGTTTGTCCCTTGTCAAATGTGTAAAAGGAAGTGAAGAGAAGCCAGCTGCCTGGAGGGATGTGGTGGGGTACAGTACCCGGGCAGGCTAGGGCACCCCAATGGCCCCCACTGCAGAAAACAGTACAGCCCAGGTGGCGAAGCTTGGGACTCACACTTTTCCAGGACTGCAACAAGGCTGTCCTTGTCTTGCTCCAGGACTAGAACAGACCACAGACAGCTCCCTTGTAAGCAGATGTTCCAGAAACCAGACCCACCATCACGGAGGAAAGGCAGGACGTGAGGGGAAATGGGTGTTGCCCGTGGTGGCCGCCTGAAGGGAAGAGGCCGGGAAAAATCACTCCCTGTGTTGCTGGGTCACTCCTTGTACCCCTTGGCTCACATCCAGTGAAGCATTCCCCAGATTCTGGGTGCACCTGTCCCCATCAGAAAGAGCCCAACCTCAACTGGTCCGGTGACGTTTCTCGCCCACTGACCTAGAGTGAGCCAGGCCCCCAGACCATCCAGATGTGGGGTGCTCCGGGGCCTCGCTCTGAGCAGGCTCTGCTTCCTCTGATCCTGGGAGCAATGGCTAGTGGACCTAAGAGGCACAGAGGGCGTCACCTACAGCCCCAGGCCAGGTGCAGAGGAGACCACAGACCCAGAGCCCCAGCGGTCCCCCTGCTGCTGGCAACAAGCATCAGCAGTCCTGAGTGTGCCCACATGCGGGGGGCGGGGGGAGGAGGGTGGGGGTGGGGTGGGGAGGAGGAGGAAGGCCAGTCCCCAAGCCCTACAACCAGGGGCCGAAATCCCAAAGGGACTGGAGAAAGACCAAGAGCCCCACGCTTTGCCCTCTGGTGCCCTTGCTTCCGCCTCTTTACTGGACAGTCCTTTCCTGTCACACATTCCAGTGATGAGTCACAAGCATCGGGCTCCACAGTGCAGTTTTCCGTGGAGGAGTAGGCAGTCGGGCACATCCAAACAACATACCAGGTTCCTGGGATCAGAGGGCAAACACAGCTCTTCCTGGGCAATCTAAAGTAAGCTTCCCTTCCTGACCCAGCTCCTTTCCCCAAGCCGGGGTCATCCACCCATTCATCCAGACCCGTGTCCCTCCTCCACTTCCACCAGTGCCTCAGTTTTCACTGGCCCAACCATCCCTGCTTCCCCATCTCTTCCCCCGGGGCAGTCAGCACCTCCGTACAGGTGACCTCCCCACGTGTTCTGGAACTGGGTGTCACCACATGGGCTCAGCTCCCCATTCCCAGGCTTTTGCCTTCTGCTTTCCCTAAGGATCCACTGTTGTTACCTCCTCATTAACCGGGACCCGCCAGGGCGGAACCTGTCCAGTCTCCACCAGTCCACCTGCCGTATAATCAGGAGCCCGACCCCAACTCTGAACCTCTGCCTGAGCCCGGGAGCCACGCTTCCGTCCCATGATGGGTCCCTGATGGGCAGGAGCAGAGTCACCCTCCCCAGTGCCCCCGACTTGACTAGCCGGTCCATCCCTGCTATTGCAGTAGCCTGCTTTCCAGCCGGCAGAACGGCAGCCAACTGGGCATCCAGGCCTGCCTTTGACTCTGATGAAATTGATATGGCTACCAGGCCCCTTCCCAGGCTCCTCCTGACGGCCCCCCCGCACCCGGCGGCTTTGCTACCTCTCACCCTTTGGGAAACCTGGCCTCGCAGCACAAGCGGCAGTCTGAACCTCCGCGGAAACCCAGGCACCCAGTGGGAGCAGAGCTCGGTCAGTTTCGGCACATGGGACACTGCCACGTCCCACCTTTGGCATCTCGGCAGCCAGCCTCATCTGCTGAAGTGGGGCCATCATCGGGATGCCCGGCACTCGGCAAGGCTCAGCTTTGCTAACATGACTCCGGACCATTTCCTTTCAAGGCATCTGCGGGTCCTTTGGCTAAAGACTGTTCTAGGGCCAGGGTGTCCCCCCAGGCCCCAGCTCCAGGACTGAAGCACTCTGCCTTAGTGCAGGGCCGAGGGGGACACTCCGGACCTCAGCTCATGCCGGGGGAGGCTGAGACCTGAACCCCAGAGTCCTGCCAGCCTGCAGAGCCTCCGTCCCACCTGGAGACAGAGTACCTCCCCTGGGAGACACAGTCCTTCCTGCCCAAAGGCACACCAGCCGGAATCCCCAGGCCAAGCACACTGGTCCCTCCAGCAGAGAAACCGTCGCTGACAACAGACACGACAGAAGACACTTGCGCTTGACCTCCCGTTCCCGGCACCTGCAAGCCATCGGCCAAAGCCCTCAGCCGCAGGGAGAGCGGCCACACCACACCTGTGCTTGGAGCTCCATCTCCTCCCACCTGCAGTCCGGCCCCTGCGCTCCACTCGTCCAGGGCACAGGGGGAGTTCCAGTGAGAGGGGCCAGGACCAGAACTGGGGTGGAGAAGCCGCGTTCCCTTTCTATGTCTGCTGGGGACCTGTCTGGCCAGAGCCAAACTGTTCCAGGTAGAAAAGCTACCACTAAAGGGAAGAAAGCTGGGACGGAGGACAACTGCTGTTCGTGCTTCTGCCAGACGCCTCCGGGCCACCAGGCCAGGGCACCTCTGTTGCCGTCAGAGGGGCGGGCACCACGGGTGTGGCTGGAGAAAAGACTGTCCCTGAACACATTCTGGGCACCTGGTGTCCGTGCGGACAGGGGACGGGAAGCGCCCTGGGAGGCAACAGTACGCGAGCTGTGTTTGGCCATACTTCCCGTTCTGCCGGCATTCGCAGCAGCCGGGGAGGCTCATGGCCAGAGCACGTGGCTGCAGTCAGATGGGACAACGTCACTTTCATTCAGTCCACTGGGGCCTTCCCGGCCGGGATGCCCCCCTTGACTTTGTAGGAGCCCACACGACTGAGAAAATACCTGAGCTTCGGGGCCTCGTTCGCCTCCCGTCGACCAGATCACGGGTGCCTCTTCAGCAAGGAGCAGCTGTCCAGGGACTCCTTGTGGACACATGGGTGGGACCACCAACCCGCGGGTCATCTTCTCCCGCAAGAACCAGGATCTCCGCAACTAGGAAGCAAAAGCCTTCTCTACACATGGCGGCAGCCACGGGCCCTCACTCCCGGGTTTGCTCTCCCGGGCACAGGCTCAGGTGCATCTAGTTCCATCAAACAAACTTAAGCTGTTTTCTGTTTTCTTAGAGCAAGCCGGAGGCCCAACAGCTCGGGGTGTTTGTGCATGTTTCCCTGCCTGTGGGGTCCGATGGCACTAGTTGGAGGTCACACTGGCTTGGAAAGGTGCACTGTGGGGAGAAGGGAGAGATCCGTAAATACCAAGCGTGCAACACTCTGCTTTCCTCTCTTGGCCTGGAAGACTCGAGCTCTAGGCCGGTTTTCCTCTAGTCTTAGAACTGGCAGGACAGCCACTGCTGCCTGCAGCTGCCCCGGGCCTCCCCACTGTTGGCTTCTGTGGGCCCTGACCTTCCGTTCCCAGACAGAACATACACGGACATACGTTGTTCTTGTTAATCGGGCTCGATGAGGGAAGCAGAATTGACCTGTACAAGTGGCAATGTGTTGAGCCCAACGTCACTGTGCAAAGCTTCGGTGGCCCAGGAAGTAGGCTGCGGAGGCAGTGCCGCTAAGGCAGCAGGAGCTGACATCTGCGGTCTGCTGTGTCAGGGGCAGCAGCCCGGAGGAATCGAGGTGCGGGGGCGGACACAGGGCATGGCTCTCCCTCGCCTCTTCCTTCTGCGTTTCTCCCCGGCTGCCCGGCTTCCGTGGAGGACACACCAGCCTTGCCGTGTAAGCCAACCGCGCTGTACCACTATAGTCTGTGGAAAGTAGCTCCGTGTCCTCGTTCACTGGGACTACGCCAAGCATCCACACACATTCACACGCCACCCAGGGAGGACTGGCTTGGTGGGGAAAAGGAAAAACTCAAGTCGGTTTTATAATTTTTGAAAAATCTCAGTCAAGGATCAATATATAAATATTGTTCTCGTGCTGCCTTAAAGCATCTGACTGAGCATTTTCCTCTGAAAGGGGAGTCAATTTTGTCAATTGCTTTTCCCACAACCAAGAGAGGATCCTATGGCTTTCCCCCTTAGTCTCTTAATATGGTGACTGTACATTAATGCAGTCAACAGCTGGGTAGGTTCTATTTTGAAAGCAAGTCTTCCTCCTGTCGAACCCTCTGATATGTCAAATGCAAGAGTTAGAACGTCACTCAAGCTTGGCTGGCCTTGGAGTCAGGCCGTGTCTCCACTAGACTTTACTGCTGAAAACAGAATCTTTTCTAACTCATTTTGCAGCCCATAAAACCACCTGAAGCTGGGGGAAAGCAAAAAGGCCGGCCTTTCCCTCAGCTTCTTACCTGTTCTTTCATCGAACATTTATTTGGGACTGACCCTATGCTTGACACTGTGGCACACCCTCGTGACGCAGAGTGTAAAGGTGTCTCTTGCTGCCCATGAATTTACGATATCGAGAGAGTCTGACGAATAAACCAAATATTACAGAGGAGGGGAGACTGGTGGGGATTTCGAAGCTGGTAGGAAGGACATAAAACCAAGGGTGGGAGGGATGGAACTTTACATTCGAAAAGAACCAAGTGGCCTGGTAGAGAAGGACTACTTTCAGGTCAGGGAAATACCACGTGAAAAGGCAGGGAAGGAAGAACAGTCACGACCCAGTGCCCACCAGGAAGAATATTCTCTCTGGCCACAATAGGATTAAAGTAGCATCAATAATAAGATGAGTAGAGCATCCTCAAATACCCAGACATAAAGCAAAACATACTCTTTCAGAACCAATGAGTCAAAGGGGAATAAGAAAAAAATGGGACAATAAAGTAAATGATAATTAAAACGAGAAAGTAAAAATGTGTGAGATACAGCTAAGGCAAAGTGTGTCAGGAAACTTTGTAGTTTCATGTGTTTATATGAAAAAATAAGAAAGAATTAAAAATAATGACTCAAGTTTCCATCCTTAGACAAGAGCCATTGGTTTAAATAAGATCCAAAATAAGAAACTGAAATTACACAGCACTGAAAACTAAGCCGAGAGAGGAATTTTTTAAAAAGATTTTATTTATTTATTTATTTGACAGACAGAGATCACAAGTAGGCAGAGAGGCAGGCAGAGAGAGAGGGAAGCAGGCTCCCTGCTGAGCAGAGAGCCCGATGCGGGGCTCAATCCCCGGACCCTGGGATCATGACCTGAGGCAGGGGCTTGAACTCACTGAGTCACCCAGGCACCCGAGAGAGGAATTTTTAAAAGACTGATAAAACTCACAAACCCCTACTGTGACTGAAGGAGAAATAAAAAGAGAATTCAAATTTTATGAACATCAGAGGAGTTATGACAACCCAACTGGAAGACAGGAAAATGGTAACAAAGGACCACAAGCCCCTGGCAAGGATGACATTTCTGCCTCCAAATGTTTTGTGTTTTTCCCTCATGAACACTAGAAAACCTCTAATGACATTATTAACAGTGCTACACAAATTCTTTCAGAAAATAGATAAGGACGCAACTCTTGCTAACCCACTTTAGGAACCCAGTGTTAGTTACCCTCAGCCCCAAACTCACCAGAAACAAAAGGACAGGAGAATGCCTCTGATGGCCCTAGAAATCTTTGACAACCTTCTCAGAAGTCAAATCCTCCCAAATATACAAGCATGATCTAGCATGATTAAGTGGGCTTTTTCTCAAGAATGTAAGGTTGCTTTGGGCGATTAATAATGCATTAATGTAGGATCATCAGATTAAGAGACCAAGGGGGGAAAGTCATAGGATCCTCTCAATGGTTGTGGGAAAAGCAATTGACAAAATTGACTCCCCTTTCAGAGGCTCAGCAAGGTAGGACCGGGAGAGTTTCAGTCGTGTGATAAAGCCCATCTACCAAAAAACTCCAATTAACGGCACAATGAATGTGTTTACCCTCTGATCAGAAACTGGGAAAGGATGACCTTTGTCTCCACTTGTCTCCACTCAATACTTTCCTGGATTTTGGAGCTTATGTCAAAGGTAAGGGAACTACTCATAGACGTACACGTTTAAAAAGAAGCAAAAGTGCCTTTCTCATAGAGAACGTGATTGTGCACGTTTACTACACGTAACAAAGTTTACACGTTTACAAAGAAGCTCCAAGAAGGAAGAAATGAAGTGAGCCAGTTTCCCGTGTCAAGGTCGACATACAAAAGGCAACTGCTTTGTCTGTGTGCTACCAAACACCAGCACGCGTGTAATGCATACGTACAATATATGTACAGATCCATATATCCTACTTGTGCACTGGAAAAGGTCACACTGCTACGTTGTCCATTTCAGTCAGGACCCTGAACGATGGGCCATGGAATTATTATAAGGGATGTGGGTGCCCTTGGGTAAAGCTCTTAAGCCAGGCTAGATCCTGCACCCACCTGGTGTGTGTCTCCTGACCTTGGACCTGGGAGATCATTCACAGACAGCTGTGTAGTCGGCTGCCAAGTCTTCCCAAGACAAGAAATGCCTGACAGTGCTATGCTGACCGCTGTTACTCTCTGCAGAGGGAGAAGAATGAGAAACTCAAGGCATGGTTCTTGGCTCTCTCATCTTACAAAAGCAGGCTATGGGTTGACTCTGACCCAGAGGCCTCAGTGTTGGCCGCTAGTGCAATATATTGCCTAGAGAAATTTAGAAAGACCTCATATATGGAGATGCATACCGTGTTTGTGGTCTAGAGAAGTTAATACCGGTCAATTGTCCATTTTGACTAGGACTCTGAAACCTCATCTATGGGGTTATTCTGCGAAATGTTGGTGCCCTTGGGGCATAAGAGTTTTCAGGAGAGGGGATCCTGTGCCCACCTGATGGGCCTCCCCCATCCCGGCCCTGGGGGAAGACAGCTCCCAGCCAGCCCTGTGGTTTGCTGCAAGACGCAATCACAAGAGAGCTCTGCCATGGAGATGTGTTGACAGCTGTGGTCCCTGCCCACATCCTCACATAGCCTGAGGCCCCCGTTGGTTAAGGCCCACTTAGAGGAGTTGTGCCCCTAGCTAAGTACCTTAAGGTCTTAAGAAAGAAAAAAAAAAAAAAAAAGACCACCTGGTGTGTAAGTGATGGGGAGTCACCAGGGTCTGGTGGGTCCAGGCTGATCTGTAGAATCAGACAGCTTGGGTCAAGCCCTGGCAGGGCCACTACTGCCTCTGTGAGCTGAGGAAAGTTCTAGGCCTCCCATATCGTTTGGCCAAACCTGTAAAGCTAAGAGAAGAGGCTCTGGCCTCCAGGAAAGGGTGATGTGGGGCACAGCCTCGGGGCGCGTCAGAGCCCGGGGGCGCTACCTGGGAAGCCAGTCCAGGGGTGCCGCTCCTACTGCGGGCTCGGGACTTCCCAGGGTGGCCGCCAAGGGGGCGGCCCCAGAGAGGCTCTCAGACGTCGGTGCCCCAGGCCCTGCGCTCCCCGCGGGCGGCGGCGGGGGCCTGGCATAACCGCTGTCTTCCGTGGCGGTTGGAAGGACGCGGCTGGCGGCCCTCGCGCCCACTGCTCTGTCCGGGGTCCCTCACCGCCCCGCCCCCAGCACCCACCAAGCACCCCGGGCACTGCCCCTGCCTCCGCCTCCCTGGAGCCCTGGGTCCCCCAGTCCCCGGGACTGCGTCCCCCACCTTCCCCCGCATCAGGCTGTATCCGGCACTGCCGCTGAGTCAGCTCCGAGCTCAGACGGTCGCGGCCGCGGTACTCCAGGCGACCGGTACTGCCCTCGGGGACCCGAGGGAGAGAACGGAAGACCCAGGGCCCAGACGCCAGGCGGCTGTCCGGAGCCTTACGCCCAGGAGGCCGGCCCGCTTCCCGGGAGCCATCCCCGCTGTTTCGGACAGTCCCCACGGAGCGCGCGCTTCACCGGGTGCCACCAACTGCAGCCCGGTGCGCGAGGCTCCAGACGAGCGAGTCCCGCGGACCGGGACCGTTGTCCTCACCCGTTGCCCTCCGCTGCCTTTCCCTCCAGCCAGCCCTTTGCGCAGGGGTTCTCTGTCCCCCTGGCCGGTGGCCCTTCAGAGCCTTGGGGAAGGGTGCGCGGGCCACCGAGGGCTCTGGTGCTAGGACACCTCGCTGACTTTTCTAATGGTCCAGGGATTCCTCGCACACAGTCAGCTCCTCCCCAAAGCTTCTGCAGCCAACGGGTGCCCTCCAGTGTTCCCCCATCGGGCATGGGTCACCCCTGTCCTGCCCCTCACTTGGCATGCTTGCAGGCTCCTGGGTCTGCACCCTTCGTCCCCTGTCACCTGGCAGAGCTGGGAAAGGTCTCCTCTCTGATCCTTTGTCAGGACAGGCTGAGACCACCTCCTGGTCAGTCTGAAAGGGCGGTGGGAGCCCACAGTGAGAAGCTAAGGGTGGCGGCCACTCTGGGACTTTGTACCTGAATCCAAGAATCAGCCCAGCTTCAATGTGTGTGTTTGGTGGTCTCAGGAGGACAGGGGAGGGGATGGCGTTAGGCCTAAGTTCAGAGGGGTGCTTCTAGGCCTCAGGCAGGCAGGAAAAGGGCAGCAGAGTCTGCCCTTCATGCTAAAACTGGTTTTAGGGGGAAGACTCAGGGAGCTGAGCATTGCTTGTCTCTGAGCCCTTCCTGGAAGTTGTGCTCGCCACGCTCTCAGACTGTAATTCGTCTTCAAGGCTTTAAGTCTTTTCCGCTTTATGAATTTGGAGAAGATGAATTGCCGGGCTTTCGAATAACCCATTCGAGGATTCTGCCACCCGTACTAGGGGGAGAGGACCTCGGAGGGCTTGTGGGAAAGGAGGCATTTGTTCAGACGGCTCTCATCATGCCACACGGCCTCGATGTGTTTGGCTTGGTCCACGGTCATGGCTTCGTGGCAGGCCCTGGTGAGCATGTAAACTTCTGACACTGACCCCCCAAATAAGAACCCTATGGAATAAAAGTCCCCTCATCTTCAGGAATATGGGCATGTGACTGAGGCCGGCATTCATAGGGGAAGTCAGTCTGATTGAGCCCAAGGTAGGCGAGATGGAGAGTCCTGAACAGGGAGGCGAGGATCTCCAAGCCCATGTGGTCGCTGAAGCTCACGTCCACGTCCGCTCACACGAGGTAAGCCACCTCCGGCCGGAAGCGCCGCTGGGAGAAATTGCTGATGGCCTCCGTGCGGTGCGTGGAGACGTCCTGCCAACGGGCACAGCTCGGGGTCTCGAGGATGATGATCTGCTTCCCTTTCTGTCGGCTGAGATGAGGAACATACTCTGGCTTGTCAGTGAAGATACAGTAGTTCACCCTGTGTCCCACCAGGAAGTACGTCTCGGCGGACTGCAAGAACTGCTTCAGGAAGATCGTGTAGGACCTCACAGAAAATACAGTCGATCCAACGGTCGTGGTCCGGAGCTGGAACTGCTCATTCACGATGTCCGTGTTGAAAGTCCCCTCCCAGATGATGGGAGC